TTGGTACTCGGCGCTTCGGGTGGCGGGTTGAGTTTATGGGGAGGCTGGTGTCACGGGACTGAGGATGGGGGTTTGAGGTGCCGGACATGTGTTTGGGTTGCAGCATCACTCGTGGGGTTGAATTGTCCACAGTTCCACGATTTCCCGACATGATGGTATTCTTGCTGTATCTCTACTTTCTACCGGCGGTCAAGGAGCAGCTTGTGGCCATATTGTACATGCGCTTACACTTGAGGGATGTGTTTGAGGTTGCTTGTCCGGTTTTGCTGCTGTCGATCTTGATGCGGTGATGGTGGTGCACTCGATCATGACAACAACGCTGGTGAGTGGAATGGTCGGTCAACTCCTAGGTTTTGCTTCACTGCCATTATCTATTCGACTGGCAAACATGACACTGCTCAACCCTGATTATATACTCCATAGGGAGAAAGGTAAACCGAATGAGTGGGCTTTCCATGCAATAATTTTTTTCGAATCGCTGTAGTAAGTTAAGTAGGTTGGAACGATTCGAAGGATGGAGAATTGTGTTTATATATCCGGAACTATCAGATTCCAGCACGTGGGCTGCAACGGATGTGGACCCTTTTCAAGTCAGCTGCGGTGAGGCAATTGAGGAGAATGTTGTTATCTCAGTGGAACGAGCGATCGAAGGCCTTTTGCTCCTCCCTGAAGTACTCGAGCTCTTCTGTCCATGGGTGTAAACAGGAGACGATGTCTCCCTATGTTTTTCAACTTAGTGTTCTAGAACCTATCTGCATTATCTTATTCTTGTGTTCCGTATTGTTGGGCATGCTTTCCCTTTTTAAAATGGAATAGGCAGGTGTTGACGGCCCAGTCACGGAAGATGCGCATGTTCTCCTGAAACCACTATTTAAACGCCATCAACGGAGCCAGACTTCCCAATACAAGTACCGATATGTCTCTGTGGTCCGCACCAGTCGAGTTCCAGCTGCATTATGTCAACGGTTTCCTTCTGATGTTTGCTTTAACGTGTATCGGAATGCCAATAGAATACTATATCCATAGTGACGAGTAGCATCCTTGTCGAACGAATTGCACATTTGGTTCTTTGTTTTCGCTGGCGATGCTGCACTTCATTGAGCGTGGTTTGCCTCAACATCCACCATCATATTAGAAAGCTCAAAATCCTGGCTGCGGAGAGGCCGAAAAGACAGCCTCTATCTAATGGTTTCCCTTTATGTCGTCTGTTCCTCGTCCGATACAGTGTGATGTTTAGAAAGCCCCGACGAAACACCGACGGCTCCTTATACCACTCTACCACACGGTACCTTCTGCTTCTCCGATCGCGTATAAATACCTCCTGGATCCTCATCTTCCTTGCTCTCTCATAGAAACTCCGAATTTCGACTTTGGGGCTCTCTGGTCGAGTCTCTTGGATTGCTCTTGCCTTGCACTCTCAGCCGCGAAAGCATCAAAGCTGCAATCGCAGGACGATAGTAGCAACTGGTAGAACTTGAATCCGCAAACTGTGAATCTATCGTTGGACGGCGATTATCACCGCCGGTCATAAGTTTAGACGCTTACTTGTAGCGCCGGTATCGGGTCGAGACGGAGATACTAACCGCCGCTGTAGAGTTAAGACAAGTGAGCGTATCTATACATGGAATAAAGATCCACAGGACACTCCAGGTATTGTTGGAAGATTCAAGATAGATGAGAAAATCCATATATTCATCTTCCTCGCTAGACACTTGAGGATGTGATGTTGGAAGAGGAAGTTGCGAGGTAGAAGCCCTTATTTTATACTCACTTCCACGGAGATCCCATCATCATGGGGTTTCAACCGGGTAATGTGACACTTGATCTTCAATAAGCTGCTGCTTAGCTTCGGCTGGCTAAGCCGCAGCGAACAGTGACCAACTTCCATTGCCATGAAGGCAGACTCGCCATATGTTTGGTTCTTTTATCTTTGGATCCTAGACTTGCCAGCGGAACGATTTCATGTCACCTTCAGCCTTGACTGCCACAGTAAACTTTCAGGAAGGAAATGATGACATATTCACACAAACCGGCTCCCAAAGAGACTTCTCCTCGTCACCCCATCCCCCTTCTCCAGAACGGGTTGGCTCTCCATCTCCTTTGCCAGGCCGTCTACTCGGTGGCCCGCCACCTCTCCCAGCACCTCCTGATCGCCCGGTCGCAGGCCACATGGGGATGTAGCATAACTCCTGTTGAACAGCCAAGGATGAGCGACGAAGGCTTGGCGGAAAGGATGTTGCAATTGATGGGGTAAACTTACATCCGCAGCGCAGGGCCCGTGGCACCCAGTCCACTGATCCACCCAACCAAGCCACGCCATCAGCTCCTCAATCGCATCTTGCCACTTCTTTGCAGCACGGAGTAGGGATGGCCCGTCGAAGTCATCACCATCGTCATCACGTGGATCATCGTCTTTGTTGAATGCGCTGAGCCATTCGTACTCAACGCCCATGCCCACATGGACAATAGCGGTGCAGATGCCGGTCAGGACTTCGTCGGTGGCCCAGGACAGTAGGCGCTCGCCATGTGCCAGAGTGTTTTCAGGGTCGGAAATGCTGTATTGCGACTTGCAACGCAAGAGCGCGGCAGTTGCGTAGGGAGACTGGGGGTGGAAAGCCTGTTTGAGCGAGGTTTTCGTGTAAGGTTGAGGTGGATATTCAAAGTAGGGGATGAGGAACCAGTGTGTCTGCACGCGGATGGATGCGAACCATGCGCGTAGAGAAGACCAGTTGCCTGGCTTTTGGGCGTGGCTCTGGCTGAGGAGGCCGAGAAGATTGCGAAGCCCAGAGGCATATGTGATGAGTATCTCGTGTCCGGTGAGCTGCCAGTCGATGCCGCTGCAGGAAGAGCTGTTCAACGCGATTCGAAGACGGCCCTCAACGGCAGCACGCATGACAGTGCCATCGGCTTTACTGACGTGGTTCGTGCGATGCGGTCTTCTCCTCCTCATAAGCTGCTCCAGCGCGATTTGTTTCGCATGGGTCCCGTCTGGACGAATCCAGGTTCCCGTCTCGGATATGTTAAGAGACTTCCGTTCTTCTTCGATGCGCGCTATATTCTGGCCTTCTAGTGCTGGGTCGTAGAAAGTGAAGAGGCTACATGTGTCCACTTTTGCTCGAGATTCTCCGCGGCCAAGGCCCATACCGGAGAAGCCGTAATGGCGAGCTGCAGCCGTGAACCAGCCCCAATTGGCAAAGTCTCGGAAAGGTTCGCTGCGGTCGGTCATGCCAGGGCCATGGGGCCCTTCTGGTGCGTCCAGCGATCCGATCAAGGATGTGCGCCCAAAGTCTCTCTTTCTGTCGTCCGTTTTCCGCTCCCTATCCTGGTCTCTTGTCTCGATCCGTGGAACAGACACGTTCAGATTTGAAACCAACTGCAGCGAAGGCGAATCGAAATCGCACCAGATCAGCTCGAATGCAGCATTCATCCTCACAATGCCCTCGAAACCCCACCCCTTCCCTCCCAGCCCCTTCTCTTTCACCCACCTACAAAGTCCTTGCGCACGAAAGTACTCATCCTCCAACGGATTCCATCCGCCAAAATCAGGCGGTCCTTTCTTTCGCCCCTCTTTACCAGGGGGCTTTCGGTCGCGGCCTCCGCGTCCCGGAGGCCCCGGAAATCGATGCTCAGGCACGCTCTTGCTGTCTCCATACAGAAACGTCATTTGCGCTTCAATACCCGGACTCATGAGATTCGCTGACATGCCGTCAAAATAGAGGGCCTTGACTGGCCTCGCAGTGCGGTAGGTCAGCATGTGGGAGTCTGGCAATGAGCCCATGATAGCGTATGCCATCTCGACGTCAAAAGATAGCCATTCGGGACTGGGCGGTAGCTCTGCGTCGTGGCGGCCATGGTAGAGGACCGTATGCCGCGGGATCTCGCAGGCGGCGATGGTGTGGCCATTGGGAAAGAATGAATTTGGCCATTGTTGCAGGAGACCGTAGATGGAGGAGAATATGTAGGGGGCTGGGGATGAAAAGTTGAGGAAGGGAGTGGATGCAGAGAGCGATATTGGTTGTTGGGGCTGCGACGAGCTTGAGCTGGAGAAGGACGCCAGGCTCAGGAGCGGCAACAATAACGACCACTTCATACTGTGCGCGCGAGCTGTGGATAGGGAAAGTCTACATTTGGAGCCTGTAGCGGGAAGTGGAGGAGATTCGGGGGTGTTGAGCCATTGAGGTCAGCCTTATTTGCGATCTTCTTTCTTCTTATCGCTGACGCGTCGTTTGCCAGGTTTTGATACGCCATTGTGCAACATCGTTCGCGAAGCCCGGGGTTGATGGGGAATTTGCGATCAACACAAGCTTTGAAGGAGTAGCAATTTGCTCGAATTGGATGCAGAAAGGCGATGCGTGTCGTCTATTGTCGAAGTCAGAGACGGCGGGTATGCAGCTTGTGCATGAGTTGAACGTAGTCCCGAAACGGATTAGCGCCGTCGCCTGGATCAGGAAATTCCATCACCTGCACACATCAAACACTCTGAGCATCCCGTTTGGCTATCGTGAAGAATCTTTGTCTCCCAGCTACTACATATACAACCTCCATTCAATGTGCTATCTCAATACCTGCAATTCTCACGTCATTAAACTCCATCTCCATTTCTGTGGGACAGGATCGAGTCCTCGCAAGAGGCCCTCTGGATTACGCTGCGACCATGCGACCATGCGACCGATATTTCATGACCGACGATGAACAGTTGGCGAACAATAGCACAGAACTTGAAGAGATCACTAATGATGAGCAGGTGTTCAGACGGGGTTGACGATGCACCCGTTGGCCCTCACTCCATGCGAAAAACCCGCTGAGGACCACCAAGCAAGTCAGTCTCTTCACACGGCGTTACCGTTGAAGGCAGCTCGAACTTCATCATGTCGTTCTCTTGGACGACGCCCATTGTCCATTTTGCACGATTGACGCATTGACTGCACTGTCGGAGAGAACCCCGACTTGCTGTAACACATCTGATTATATCCCATTACGTTGTCTCATATCTCAAGTAAGCGGCGATAGTTTAGGGGTAGAATTGAAGCTTCCCATGCTTCAGGCACGGGTTCGAGTCCCGTTCGCCGCATTTCGTTATTGTTTTGCTTTTTTGGCATTTTGCAAGATCGGTCGACGCTTCTCCACCTCTATCTTTGTTTGCGACAATTCCGTGCGTTGGTTGTTGAGAAAATTGGAGTTGGAGACCTCGTCAGTGGAGCAAAGCTCAACGCTCGCTTGCTGCATTGCTCGGCGGCTACCATCGGCGCAGTTTCAATTGCCGATGAACGCCGACGACTTGGAATCGACCTGGCAGACAACACTTGGCAGACAACACCTTTTGTTTGGGGACACCATGGCCAGGTACTCTCATCAGTCCGAGTCACCTTGCCACGGCTGCTCGAATGGGTGAAGAATCAAACAGGCGTAGCAAACCCTCTACTTTGCGTTGCAGAAGCTCAATCAGATCCCACTCAACCACCCAAGAACGCAGAAAAGCCGAAAAAAGCAGAGAAGATATATATCGATCAGCATGTAGACTTTACAATTAACGGGTGTTTCTCGAGGTTCTATAATAACAAGGAATGACAAAATATCAAGCAACACGCTTCCAACAATCCCCTCCTCGGCCACCTCCATCTCTCCCCGCGAATCCACCATCTCCATCCTATCCCATCAGCAGCAGCCATCATGATCATCCCGCCATTCGTAGCTGAGCCCCTTATCCGAACACATTACTGTCGTGATTCGAATCTAAGCCTGGAAAGGCTTGGTCGGCTTGGGGGCATCAGCCGGGGGCGGAGCCGGGGCGTCACGGGGAGCCTTCTCGTCCTTGTGCTTGGGGTCCTTGGGCTTGGGCGCGTCCTTGGG